GTTGCTGACGTTGAAGGCACAAGAGCAGTCGAGAACGCAGCCGTCCGAGGCGTTGACACGATGGTGGAATGAAGGATGCAACGCCTAGAGCGGCTAGAGTCCGCCGCCACGTGGCAAACTCTAGCTCTCTGCGGCGTACGGTGCCTTCCCGGCGGGACTACGTGCGCGCCCAGCGAGGCGGCCTTTAAGTCGTCCGAACGGCACGACAGGGAGGAATGAAGTAGTCATTGGCGCCCGTTCGAGGAAATCTATGACAAACATGGTGATAAGTGATGTGGTCGGATTGCAAAGTTGGTTTTTGACTCAATCGCCGTAATAAGTAAATAGAAGGAACGTTGATCACAGTGACCAAAGTGGGTCACTTGGCTCAAACGTCTTAAAAGCGTGCAGATGGTTCTAGCACAATCGTTCTTCAAACCCTTGTTAATTACCTGCTTACTGGTTTTGATGCTGCGCTTTTCTCAGAGCTTCGTCGTTCTCAGTTGTTTGCCTTTCTCTCCTTGAAGCTTACGTGACAACATGGAAAAAGGGAACAGAGTGGGTCGTATTGTTGATAGGCTGCTCTGGTTATGAGTATCCCACATATGCGCATACGTGACTTATTGGTAGGACTATCCATACGGGTCCGGGAACTTCTCCCCTAACACGGCGTCGCACCCGCCGCCTATCGCAGGATTGCGATGAAAGATTGGAGTGCGCAATTTGTGAGGTAGGGAGTCCTTTAATCGTTTGAGTTGGCTGGTCGCTCCCTTCAATTTCAATGCGGTATTGATCGTCGTTTATATAAGAGGAGTCATTTTAATTAATCAAGTCTAATAAACATGAAAACTAAAAAGAAACAGAAGAAAAAACGATAAAATCCAATGAAAAAGCAAGCCAGTCAAGGAAAAATATCGCGTCCTATCGATTTTCGGGAGGCGGGGTGAGTACGGTAGTTGCAGTGGCATTTGCCGCATGCCGCAAGGGAGAATGCCGCGATAGGGGAGAAGTTCCGTTACCCCTATCCATACATACTAGTTATCAAAAAACCAGCAAAGACTGCTAGAACTAGATCAATTTGAAAATTAGAGCTGGTAACCTTCAGCATAGCTGACAATGAGTTTCCGTTATGCTCTTATGTCAAGATCAGTCAATGAGGTGTGCACCTGTCGACTGCCATAGGTTTTCCTATCTTGCTACCTGCATCTCTATCGAATTTGAACTCCCCAGGTTCAAATTAGCTGTTTTTAAGCAAGCCCGGCCTCCAGTGGGCGGAGTTCATACCTGTCGCGTGCCATTGGGGTCCCCTTCTTGCCTCCTGTATCCCTTCCGAATTTGAACATTCTAATTTCAGGAGAACAGGAAGTATAAATTTCCTGTGACCTATACTTTTGTGCACATCCCGCCTCTAACGAGCGCGGTGTAAACATGCCACTTAATTCTCCTATGTTCTCCCATCTTGCCAAATGCATCTCAACCGAATTTGAACGCCCCAGGTCTAAATCAATAATTTTTGCGCAAGCTCCGCCACCTATGACTGAAATCTACACCTGTCACTTGTCGTATGTTTTCCTATCTTGCCTCCCGCATCTCTACCAAATTTGAACGTCCCACGTTCAAATTAATAATTTTTGCGCAAGCCCTTGCCCCTCGGGGAGGAGTCAGAGGGGACCTGTCACGTGCCAGGCTGCTTTCATAGTCCGCCGGCCGGCCGGCGTGCCGGCGTGGCCGGCGGGACCTTTCGACGCGGTCGCGTCGTTTCAACTCCTAGGAAGTTGGAGAGATGTGGTGAAATTGTAGCTGTAAGCGTAATGATCGATTGATAATGACAACCGATTTTGGCATTGACATTGTTTGGGCGATGCAGCTGTCTTTCACAGATCTCATGACTCATCATTGCAGAACACGTAGGTCTTTGAAAATGAAGATTTGTGTAGAACCCCGTCGAGGTTATCGATTGGCATGTTATCAAATGCAGACAAATGACAGATGTGCTAAGAAACCCCCATTTCATCTTCTGTGAAGTATAGGTATTCCGCAATGGTAAGGGCGTAAACAAGACAGTTGATGATTTCAAGACCCTTGTTGGTGTCTAGATTTGTCTCGTTTGAAGTATCAAGACATAAACGATTGTAGATGGTGTGTCAAGTACAGCTTGCTATAAATATGCGCTCTCGATAGAGGGCTCTTGCCTGATCTTGACATAAGAGCGTAACCGGAACTCACGAGTGAAGGATCTCAAGTCGAAGTGGCCATTTGAAATGAGACCTACCCTGCTAGACGTACTTTTTGATGCTTATTTCAAATCTGCATTTCGAATTAGAGAAAGGGAGCAAGAGACATTGGAGCACCACAAGACCTCTGAATATCTTCCGACATCATAGCTGGAAGTCAGGGCCCTGGATGGAAATTTACTGAAAAGCTTCGCAATGTACCTTTGTTTTCGGCAACCTGCATCACCAATGTCGAGGCGAGAACTTTCTTGACATTAAAAATGGCGGCAAGAATTACCATACATTAATGAATTAGGCCCATCCCATCACCGCCAAAACAGTTAAAGGCGCTGCGTCGAGAAACAAGCATGATAATTAGAGGCATTCACTCTTACCTTAGCTATCGTGTCCCAACTAACGGAAAAACGCAACATCTCGCTAGGTCGATAGGGGCCCATCCGTTGTTTCACACAAATGAATCCAAACTTTCGGGCCAATTACAAGATGGCCTTCCTGCCAACAAGTTCAGTTATAAGGCAAATTTAATGCTGTATCAACGCTGGTCGGGTCAATTGCGAAAAATGTATGGGTAACACGGCACAGCTAAGCAAATGCATCCCATTTCAGAATTGCTTCTTATTATTCAATGCAATTGATGGTTCCACATTCTTTCTCATCGTGCTCATATCAAGCTGCAACTTAGCCATCCAATAATGTACATATAGGACCATAGCCGTGGCATCATGCAAGCAGAAGTCCCACGGGCTGCTTTCAGACTCGGGCGTCCGTCCATCCGTCCGCTCAACGCGTGCTGCAACAGCGCTGGCACGTGATCTAGTATTGTCAACACCTTTCTAGAACCGCCGTCGCGACACGCACACGACCGTCGTCGCAGCACGCGTTGAACGGACGGACGGACAGACGTTGAAGTCTGAAAGCAGCCACAGCGAATGTTGCAAAAGTTGGCAAAATGCCGCGGAAGAGACCTGTAGATTCACTTGGCCTCACCAAGATGGGGACGATTTTCCTGAAACGGTCATGGGAAGTGCAGCATATGTCGAGATAGTGGCCACGAAAAGTCATGTTCACTTGGGATCATATTCGCCGTGTCCTTCTCACAGAAACGAGTATGCAATGCGGGCACGCGGTTTTCACGAGTGTCCTACTGAATTTCCGCACTTTGGCTCCCGCACGAGATAGTCTCGCGTCTTTTGCTTTAATGAATAAATTCTTGTCAGAACTGAGTGCTCGTACTGAATTTTCGTTTCTGTCAAAGAAAGCAGTAGAACTTCTAAGAAATAATCATCCACACGATCATCTGATCGAACCAATCTTCTCTACTTCAAACCCGTTTTCAAATGATAGCGATAGAGTCGCTCAAACCGCAGCGCGTCGCAACCGAACCCATTTTGCCACGTGCAACCTTGAAAGACCCACAGTTTTTCCCGCCGTACGGATTGTGCCAACTTTCAACAGCAAGGTAGGTGTGTACGAGTTTATCTGGGCGGAGATATGGGGACGAGTTGCACGCGGAAGCGGAGCGCGAACCTCCGTCTACCGCTCCCTTCTCTTTTTTTTTCTTAAATGTGTGCTTTTGTGGTAGTACATAGTGCTGTCATGGGTGGAATGGTTCATCTGATTCAGTGTGCAGTGCAGAAGGTCGATCTTACATCACAAGTTCGTCACCATGCCTAGTTGTGAAGACGAAGTGTTAGCTATTGGAAGAAAACTGGACAAAATTATAGACGGTACGAAACCGGTGAGCAGTTTTGTTTTTTTTTATCTTCTTAAATTTCTCCAGGCTACTTAGAATATGAAGCTACTGTGTTTAATGTGAGACTCATACTTCATAAAGTGTTCTAAGTTTAAAACTACTATTCTGAACCTGTCTATCTACCCACTAAGCAATGAACTTCTGGCCAAACTTATTAGATGACAAGTGTGTCATTTTCTTGTATGATGTTAGTTTGGCTCATCATGATAACAAAAAGTAGTATTAATAAATATGGAATAAATCGCATCGTACGGATGGGGAACAGGAAATCCTCAGTAAATTTCAATTTTGTTTGTGGTTTCAGTTTTTTTTTTCGATGTGTTTCTTTTTAAATTGATAAAAAAGTCCGTATATGTTGATATATTTTTAACAATTTAGCTGGCACATATTACAGCGCGTGAAACGTTCTACATTCAATGCTAAACCATTTGAAATAGAGTAACGAACATGTTGACCAAATACCCTTCTTCAAGACTTTTAATAAGATGATGACCGGAAAGATTCCAATGCTTATTTGTTAGAATGAAGGGAAGTGGGTTCACGATAATCTTCCCATATGATGTGTTCGTAGGGGGATTTGCAAATGATATCAGTGTGATCTCTTGCTATGTTGTCTCTACAGTCCTCCTCACTGTCACCAAAGATAACCTGCATTCGTTACAGACCACCACCATACGCGCATTATCTCGTGGTGTTCTCGGCGATGAACTGTTACAGCAAATATAAAGAATTCTGTCATACTTGCTCCTTACCAGTCTTTGATAGTAGTTAGACCTTTCTTACCAATTATGCGTCCCTCCTATTTTACTTACTCNGAGTAAGTAAAATAGGAGGGACGCATAATTGGTAAGAAAGGTCTAACTACTATCAAAGACTTCAGTTGTTTCTGATGTATCTCTTTTCTGAAAACGTTATAATGCTGTATCGGATGCAAGCACTCTCCACCATATCAAAGTCTCAGTCCCCTCCTATCTTATTTGCAGGCTTTACTTCTTATCAAGGTAATGGAAGAATATCTAAATTGCCTATTATCAACCATCAAATTCGAATCATATGAAAGTGCCAAGACCCTACTGTTAATTGAAATCAACCATCAAAATATAGTCAGAGCTGCCTTCCTATGCCTTTATTAACGCATATAGTTATCATTAACACCTTTCTGTCCATATTTTTAATGCCACCACACTATCCCTGAATCTCATGCAAACTGGGACGCTCGAATTGTGTGAAGGAGTTCATTAATAAAATTCCCGTCAAGCATTTTGAATTACACTTTCAACCATAAATGTGTACTAGGGTGAAAATTTGTTTCGTCCCTCTTTACTATAGTAGTGCACTCATGTATACTTGACTTGATGTGTAACCTACGCAAATGTTTCACATGCATCGCAGAAATAATATTAAACCTTCATAAGATCTTGAGATAGAAGAAACAGTATGGTCCAAAGATGTTGAAGAATAATGCCTACAGATGTAACTTGGCATGTAATGATTGCATAGTGGGAGGATCTAGTCCCTGTGCTTGTGTAGATTGGAGACAGCTTTATTCCTCAAAAGGAGTTTTTCGCTGGAGCACTAGAATCTGTAAGAACAAAAATATTTGACTCAGTTGCACATCTATTGGTTTCACCAATCGAATCACCCTTCTTACTCTGTGCTCCCCTCCTTTATACAACTGAGGTGGAGTGCACGGTTTAACCTTCATGCTTCTTTCCCGGAAAAAATTATTCACTTCTAAACACAATTTTTTGATTCCTCAATCACGTAGGAACTAGAATGTCGCAACGGGTCGCATACGCATACCACTTTTTCTTACACAGTCTCCATCCCTTGCCTTTCATCTAAACAATGACCATCCAGTAAAAGTTAAATGTTTCTCTTCATTGAGCCCAATGGCGCTCCAACTTTCCTGAGCACCCCGGTTGGTCAAACAGAGGTTCGAATGGTACTCACTAATATTGTTGATTCACGATGACACCACTTTCGAGATTCTCAGATTACTGGTGATCGGATTGGTTCTCTGTTAACTGATATCAGACTTTGGAGAAGACATGATTCTTATTAGTGTCCAAACCTCCAGGAAAAGTCGTCGTAATCCTTTAATACGAGTTCAACCTGGTCCTCGTTGTAGAGTTTCGTCTTTCATCGGTCCTTAAAACAACGACTCTCAGTCGATTTTTGCCAGCCAGCTCAGTCATACCGTCCTGTCTTAGAAACATACCAAGGTCAAGGGTACATCTTTGTACCAAAAAAGGTAGAAATCAACTGAGACCATTCCCTATAATACGCTGTCTCTGATCCTGTCATACCCTATATCACATATACAAGGATACCACTATCAAAAGTTATAGGTGGAGTGAAGGTACAAATAATTTAACTTAATGCTCAAATAGTTAAAGGTAAAAATTAATCGAAATGTTTACAATCATATATCAAAGTAGCATTAAGATTCTCATGACTTTTCGATTAACCGGGTTCTTTTATCCATTTTGTTAATATTTGATATGAAATCGTCAGTATGGTCCCAAAGATTCACGGGCACTAGATATGAAATTGTTAGTATGGTCCCATGGATTCCAGGGATTTACGAACATATAGAGAAATGCACTATTGTACGTTGTTGCTGTACACATCCTTTTTGGTTGACGATATTCCTCCATTGTTTTTGATTGTTGTTTTGTGTTTACACCAATATATTGCTAACACTTTTAAGGGAGACAATGCTGCTGATCTTCTTGAGGTTTTGTCAAAGCTTCCAATCACTATTGATGTCTTGACGGTTAGTTCAACGAACGTAATTTGATTGAAGTAGATACCAGATAAGATTACTATTACTATTACTCGAACTTGAGTTCTAATCTCTACGAATAATATCTTCAGAAGACTCGCATTGGAATGACTATCAATGATTTACGCAAAAAGACCACAGACGAAAAGTTGGCAAAAAAGGCAAAAAGTCTTATCAAAGAGTGGAAGAATTTGGTCGACAAACGAGAGGACAAAAAAGAAAAAGTTGGTTTTTGATTCGCAGTTTATTGGCAACCACTTCTTGCTTTTGCTGTTCATATAATGTCACAATGTGCGATCATCCTCTATCGGCCATGTTTGATTTGTTCAAGGCTGCTAAAAATGAGCCATCCTCATCGAACTCCGGGAAAAACAACGGGTCAGTATCGGATCAGCCAACTCCGAAAATCGCCCAACCTTCAACTCAGCCACCCGCTCCTATTCCAGGCCATCACTACTCTTCTAACTTCCCTCCTAAACACTTGGAGGCTGACGAGGTCAGCTCGGGAGTTTTCTTTGTTTCATGTTTCGAATTGTTCATTGTACTTTTTTTGAGATGTACTTATTTTTAGAGGTAAAAGTTTTAGGTTGTAATGTGGGCTATAATTGGGGTTTTCTTAAGCGAAAGCTTATTTCATTGTTGTTTTATTTGACACGTATTCTTTTCGTTATTCACACTACAGAACCAATTAGTTCCTTTCGTTTGGTACGAAATTTTAGAGATATTGAGAGCGCCGTTCCGTCATGTAACAATTATTAAATCCAACAAATAGGGGGTTCTAGCATGCGACATATTTGTGTATATAGATGTCAAGAATCTTCTTTGTAAATGACTAGGCTGCAGTGAATTGGGAATTCTCCTAAACGGGGTATGGGGGAAAAGGTGTGGGTGGTAAGTTCACAACCTCCAGCAAATCAGGATCGAATAAGTGACAAAAGGCTCTGCAACAGTGGATGAGTTTTCTTCAGTCAATGGTTTTGGAGTATTTTTAGGGTTTACAAAAATCTAGGAGTTCGCTCTCCTTATAAAAAGACAAGAAATAAAATGCAGGCTTGCTACAGCTTGATGCTCTCGATAAAGTGCTTATTAGGCGCACGCAAATGTACCTTGAGCAGTTGATGACTCGAAAAAAAAGTGAAAAAGGTCTGAATCGTTTCAAAGCATCTCTGCAGGTTCTGAAGTGTATTTGCTTTGCTAGGCTTCTATTCGTTTTCATTTTTTTTCAAATCTTTTCATTACTGCAGTTTTGGCTCGCGCTATATATCCATAAGAAAAAAAAACGATTTATATTACATTCATTTAGCCAAAGATGAAAATTTTTTCGAGTCTTGAGTTCTAATCAGAAATTAGCCTGACTACTAAATGACTCGCTGAATATGCATCAAAAGCGTAAAACAAAGTAGTATTGATCGCTACCATTAATTTCATTCAGTTCCTCAGTTTCAATCTTCTTCTCAACGATCATTTTTTCATCACGAAGGCGAGGCCTTGATTTTTTTAAATATTGATCATCTACATTGACAATGTAAAGTACATTGAAACTATTGTCAGCGGACTCACCAGGTGAACGTCATGCGAATTTCGTTATAATTTCAGGTTAGGTTAAAGTCTGCGCAGATGATTTTGAATGCTCTCAGATACGCAGAGCTTCCAGTTGGCACTCTTGATCCTGAGGAAATTGCTGTCAAAGTGGAAGAGAAGCTATTTAGTGTGAGTGTTATTGCTGAACTTTCGAATTTTTATGCTTTACATTAATTCATATTGCAGTCTCAGTTCAACCATGAAGCAATTGAGGGGACAAATAACAGGAACACTAAACCCAATACTATTCAAATTTGACACAAAAGTTCAAGCGTTGTTCTCTCACCTGTCAAACGCCGTGGTAGACTAAAAGTAATTCGTTCTTTGTACTATCACAAATAACAGACGCGAAGAGCATTGGAAGATGGCGCTAAGTTCGAGTTGTTGACGTCAGTGATAGCGATGGGGTAGTTCTAAATGGCAACATTACTACAACGCGGTGTGAGGGTCGAAACGCCAGGCCACCTGCGCTTCCCATATCTTTCCGTATAGTCAATATACACGCACGCATGCAGAGCACTTTTTTCTTACAATGATGAGAACGTTGACGTGACATTGGCTGACCTCAGGAGGTACTGTATAGATCAGATACACATTCAAATGTTTCTTCAATTCGGAATGGAAGCCGAGTATACCTGTAGTTGGGTGAATCGACTCCAGAAACTTGACCTTGAATATTTCATCGTCGCCGGAACTATAGAGAGAAATGGTTGAAGAATAGTCTGCAATTTGTCTGTCACTTACCTCCCTCATGAAGGAGCCCAGGTCGAAGTGGGCAGTTGCTATGCGTCCCACGCATTTGTTAGTTTTTCTATCATTTGGCTTTTATTTTCGTCAGCTTGCTTCTGAGACGGACTTGTGGAGTTGATGGCGGAAGTCGAGGTCGCTTGCCTTCTTCTTTTCCCTCGAGACTCCTAGATAACGGGGTAACTGAATACCATTGCCAAAGCGTTATTCACTCGTTTAACTTAAGATCATTTCCTTCATACTCTTTCTTCCTTTTCGAGTTTTTAGTTATAAGGTGATCATTTCATTGACTGCAATCATTCTTGATAAGCCGCTTGAACATTATCTTCTACCGGATACTACAAATTCGACACGGGCGTATACGCTTACGATGTCTCCATCTGCTGCCCTTGATCTTAGCAATAATCACTTGTAAGGATTTAATTATTCAGTTTATTAAGCCTCCTGGCCCACCTCTGTTACTATGCAACCTTGTTTATAAATCGAAGGTAGGAATTATACTAATATTCTCGATTCATAATGACGCCACTATTGAAAATCCATATCCGTGGCTGGTCTTATCTTCAGGTATACAAATCATTCGTTGGGGGTCTCAGATTATTGATGATCGGGTGGGTTTTGTGGCGCTGATATCGAAATAAAGTCGACTATATTGAGACGCAAATCTTTAGGCTCTTGCATCGTAATAGAACAAGCTCAATAACAGACCGTGAAGCGGACTTTATTATCCTTCATGGTACTGTGTGTGATCGATCCAACCACTCATTTTTTTTTTGGCAACATACTCTACCACGTCGAAGCTCCATTGTATAAAACGAAGGGGTTAGGAATTCAGAACTTTCTTAGATTTCTTGCCAGCCTTGAACAGCAGCCAACCATCACCGTATTTTTTTTTTGTTTGCCATTCGGTCACGCTCTTATATCACACAATGAAGTAGCGATGCTCTGCAAGCGGGAAGGGGAACTGATCGAGTGTTGTAAAATCGAACCCCTTTTCGACCTTGACGCAAATAATCTTGGTCACAAAATTTTTGGATGATCGCCGGAATTTTGTTCACAGCCCTCGCGCCCACTTTTCTCTGAACTCGAGAGCCTTTCAGACATCAGTACAGGTTTTCAATCTAGCTAGGGAAGGATCCGAAGTAGTTGTTTGGAACTTAACATAAGCGAACATAAATTGCAGGATGTACTTATTCCGAAGAGGTGGGTTCCAGCAGTGGTAGGGGTGTCGCTTCATGTGCGAAAGACAGTGTCGCGGGTTCTGGTGGCGAAATTTCTGCATAATATAGAATTTTTCTTGAGCCCTAGGAATTCTCTTATGTTGGTTTTACTGCGTAACAAAATCGTGACTGTTTCTACTACGCGATGTTACACTTCTTCTTCTTGGGTGTGTAAGTCCATGTCCTAACGATGTCAAGCACTGTTGAGGGGGGAGGGGGGTTGAGGGGCAAGGTACTGGTCAGATTTCAATGAATGGCTGCGACGCGGTTCCAATTCAATGCATGTGCGTGCGCGCAACTGTGAAGCTCGGGCCGAAACTTCTCCGTCTTTTCTTTTATGCGCTATCTCTGTTTTATTAATCTTCGAACATCTAACGCTGGGCAAAAGCTTCGAGCCGCGTAGTTTGGCTTGGTGTTTGCTCATCAAATACCTCCTAAACTCCTTACAAAATTCTCAACAGTTACCTTTTTGAGTATTTTACAGTCCTTGTCACTTTAGGTGCATAAGGGCACAGGGGACAAGTACAAAGCTGCTCTTCGCAGTCGTGTCTTCAACCTGAGAGACAAAAAGAATCCAGCGCTCAGGTGAGTGACAGTGCCTTTTTGCTGTTTTTCTAAGTCGACTGCAGGAAAAGAGGAACTATAAATATCCAACCACACACTTCGTGAGTCCAACCTGACCTTGACAATTTTCGCGCACCCCCCGCCTCTTTAGGAAGAGCCTAGTCTTGACACCTGCCGTCAGTGTTTCCGTGCTGCTGCCTGTACTCATACCGAACTTGGATCATCTTCTTTCACGGAAACAGGAGTTATGAGTTTCCAGTCAAACATACTTCGACACACACTGCTCAAGGAACAACAGAGTGAAAACTTATCAGTCAGTTACACAACAGATACGTGAAACAAAGCGCTATATCGGGTAGCATCTTACAGCATAAATCCTATCCCACGTGAATAGTACATGTCTGAAGAGAGTAGGAAAACTGATTGACGGTGCATAATCCAGAAAGCTTCTAAACAGGATCGCCGACTTCGGCCTCTTCACTGTCTCTATAGTCTAGCCGCCTTCATCCCTTCAGAACTTGAACGCTGTAACTCCAAAGGGGCTATTTTCGCGCATGTCGCGCGCCCGGTGGGCGGGGTCTCGAGGCGGACCTTCCCAATGCTTAGGTATGCCCAGTACACTTAATGCCTTCTTACTCATTTTCTTTTCTGGCGTTCAGGCTGTGTTGGGGCGAAATCTAGGATCTAGAGGGAAATCGTAACCGTAACTTAGATCCCACTGTCGTTTAGCAGATCTGGAGCGCACTTTGGAATTTGGAACACAGATTTGTAATCAGCGTTCGAAACCACCGCGGTATACATCTAATCTTAAACCAAGTGATCTCTGTTACACCGTTAGAAGTATAGGCGACAGGATATGAACACTGGTAGTATGTAACGCGACTGGACTCCACCCACTGCCGCTGGGTGGGGAAGGTAGGAGGGACGACGGAGCGTGCTCGAAATGAGCGTACCCTGAGTAGAACTACGGAAGCTAAGTTGGAATAAGTGAGAAATGTCGCAAATTTATATCTCATTTTTTCTGTACCAAAGACAAAACGATCATTGGTACAGCCTCTGCATAGCAACAGAGCCTATCGGTCATTCCGTACAATTTCAGGGAAAACGTGTTGACTGGAGTTGTGAAACCGGAGAAGTTTGCCGTTATGACAAGCGAGGAAATGGCATCAGATGAAGTGCGTGAAATGCGTGACAAATTCAACAAAGCTGCTATCTTGGAACACCAAATGAGCGTACAACAAGGTGGCAGTTTTCTCTATCGTACTTTCGTTTTTTTCTTTCGTTTTCCTCTTAACGGTTTAGCCTTGATGTTTGATTTGCAGGTCGTGTCTTCAGACTTTTTCGTAACATGTATACTAGAGGAGTTCGACTTTGCTTGTTTGACTTACTCATTTCCTTTTCTAAGGCGCAGCGCAAATTTTCTAAGCCTAAAATCGGATAGAGGGAAATGGTTTGAGTTCAAGATAGGGAGCTTTGGTCGACTCATCATGGCTAACCAGTGAAGCAAAAAAATCAACCGCGCACTCTTTTTGTTGAATTGAAAATTAGACCGTCGCTTTGTAATAACGAAGAAGAGATTTGCAGGTTTATTTAATCGACTCATCATGGCTGTTCATCTTCCTTGCTCCGCATTTTTCGGAATCTAGTTAAATACGCCCGTTTTTTAATGCTTCTATCACATTAAAATTCATTCACGAGAGCGGAGTACGGTTGCATTGGACTATGTGGATCGCAAAGCTCATGACTGCGGTACCATTAGTGAGTAGTTTATGACAGAAGTGCAAAGAAACTCTCTCAGTAATTGCTGTAGAAGCCATGGAGGTGTGTGGGCAATACTAGCAATTATTGCTAGTCAGAGGTGGTACGACAGGCAAACGATGCGGGCATGGTTTAATAATTTCTGTCACTGATTTGTTTCGTTTAGAATTCCGTTTTTTATGTAATGTTTCTGTTTTTTCGTTGTAAGATCCAATATGTGCTGTAAGCTGAGGGAGTGTTTTTGGAAGTTTGGAAAGAGCCTCTTCCTCGAGGTGTTTGGAAAGGGTACACAGGAAATCGCCACTTACAGAATTAAAAATCCGTGGTCGCATTTGAATGTCATAATTGATTTACTTTACTACTATCTGTGTGGTCATTGGCAGATAGTGGTTCATACGTATAGAAATGGAACGCCTGGTTCATGAAAATATTGTGGAGTGCCTTCCACTTCCACCTAACGCCACGCGATCGCAGACTGCTACTAGTGGTTCACTCACTTTTCGGAACTCACTGTCGTGGTGCGTAAAAATAAATGCCCTCGATAAGAGGGCATACGATCGCGTGTTCCAGAGAATTTCAAGCCCTCAAAGAAAAAACAGGACTGCCTTCATAAAGTTTCCCAGTTGATAGATAATCGTGTCAATGAGCAAGAGGCATGAATTTGAATTAACCGCCTAATTTTGTCTGGCTCTTTTCTTCTTTTGCGTTAGCATTAAAATCTTTTCTACATAATTAGACATTTCGCTACACATACCATTTCCATATCAGGTACTCCTTCGGATATGTTCAAATGTGGGAAGTGCGGTAAGAAGAACTGCACATATACTCAACTTCAAACTCGATCATCTGATGAGCCGATGACCACTTTTGTTTTCTGTCTCGAATGTGGAAATCGCTGGAAGTTCTGTTGACGAGCTGATGTGTATGAGCGTTTCTTCATGGAACACTATCATTACTCTCCAATGGTATTACAACAGTGTTCTGCTGTATTCAGCCTCCTTTTGTTCTTGGTCTACTGCTCATAATTTTGAATAGCGACATTTAGCCATCTAAAGACATATGGAATTATATCCCCTTGTTTTTTGTTTCATTTGATCGATAATGTTAATAATGTGTTGAAAGCCTCTTATTGAACAGATATGTTCTAGTGAATTCAATCAGGACGCATTAACACACGTCATTCGGCTTGTTTGTATAGGCAAATTGTTATGTTATCTATGAGTTGATTAGTTGGCCGATGGGTGTAGTAGAACGACCTGTTCTTTGTTGTCTTTGTCCGCTTTGATATTTACCAAATTTAAGAAGAAGTACTGAATCCGCTTCGTCATATTTGCTTTTATCTGTAATAGCCAGATGGCTTCAAACAGCTGTTTTCAAAACAGAACAGAATCGAACTAAAGGAGTGGTTGTTCATTGGTAAATGAACAAGCTTCTAGCAATGATTGAACCGAACATGCAGTTGCTTGATCTCAAATGGTTAACTGCTTCGTCACAGCGACTAATTTCAGTTCGGAGACCATCTGGTAAGGAATACTCTTTATATCCGGCTGAGATTTAAAGCATTTGTGTGATCGACTACTAACATGCTCCTGATGTTCATAATCACAATCAGTCTAGTGGTATGAGCTAGCTTTGCCTTTGGATGCTGTTTATTTAATACCAGTTAGATCACCCGCCTCACGCCGAGCTCCTTTCCTGGTTGGCCTGGCCTGCCGCCTACACTGTCCCAAGTTCAAAATTCTGGTCTAGAAAAACAGGAGCTTTTGATTACTAGCGAAACAGACCGCACCGACACACTTCGAGCTTAGCCTGCCAGCCATAAGCGAAGCCCTGCTCAAGTTTTGTGTGTTCCGTGACATGGTTCACTCCTTCCAATTCCAACATGGCTACTGTTTTACACTCGAATTGCGCTCATTTCGCAGATGGTCCGCCCATGCATGCCCCCAAGCCGCCGCGATTTGGATCTAGTTCGTTCACTTTCTAATACCCACCATCGGTGTCTTAGATCTGCCGCCTGCATTCGTTACGTATTAAGCACCCCAGATACGAATTAGCTATTATCGCACGTCCCGCCTATTGTAAGCAAAATCAAGGTAAAACACCTTCCATCAGCATCTCCATTCTGCCGACTTTCACCTGTATCACCAGTTGATCCGTTGATCATCGATTTCCTCGAGTGGGCGCACATAAAGTCTCCATTCGTTTCTGTCACGAGCCAGAGTTGTCCAGTGGATCGTACTCGTTACCTCCTTTCGTTCAGAGCTTTCCGAACATGCACGATGTCACCTGCAAAGCGGAGAAGATGGAAGTAGCGCCCGTCGACTTTCACTCCCATGCCTTCCCATTCCATATAACGCATGATATTTCGAGAGCGGCACCGAAAAGTTTGAGCGAGATGGTATGGCCGTGTCGAACCCCTCTCTTCACGTTGATGATAACTTCTTTAGAGAATGGGAAGATGCTGGTCGTGAAGTTGTTGTAGAGCTCACGAAGCATCCTTAACCGCTATTACCGCTTCGGTCTCGACGGTATCGAAGGCTCTCTTTGAATCGGTGAACGGAAGAGCCGCGATACTTCAATGAGACTTGTATCGGTGTGAATGTAATCTTTTGTACTAAACCCTCTCCTAAACCCTGCTTGGTTGCATGGCTGTCCTTCATCTGGTACTCAGCCAATCCTGTCAAAGACAACTCGTTTGAAAAGTTTATAGTTTACAGACAGCAGACAAATCCAGCGAGTAAAGGCGTGCCGGGTAATTGCCAATGTCGTCTGGATCTCCCTACTTATACAGCAAAACGGTCTTGCTAGTTTTCCACGAATGGGCATTTCGCATTTTCCCAGGCACCACGTGAAAAGCCCGGCCAAGGTTTTGAGAATGACTGGCGGAAGGCTCTTTAGATGTTCGCTGCGATCCTGTGACCGTGCGCCGTACCCGCCCCGACACAGGATCGGAGCAGAACACTCCTCGTAGACGTGAGGGCATGTTGAATTTCGCAAGGGAGAACTGAAGGGACGATGTATCCGTCTTGCTCAAGATGGTAGGTGGGCAAGTAGATGTGGCAGAATATCATAATAGAAGTCGTATACTATGACCTTCTCCATTGCCCTTTGAGATGCAGTAACTGTTCTGCCAGGACGACGAAGTAACCTGGATCTTCTAATAAGTGTTGCTTTGGAGGTGATTTCGAATGCTTCCACAATATAAAGGGATAAAAAAAACTCAAGGCGAAGCTTCGCTCTTCGGACGTTAGCTGGTCATTGCCTGCAGCTCGCGCAATTCCACGCTGGGGTATCACTTGAAAGTCTTCGAAGAGGATAGTTCTTGGCAACTTTGAGACTCTCTGCTTTGCTGGCGCTACCGTGGGGATGTTCGACGAGCTGGTCGTATTTTCGATCAGTCGCCACTGCCGACTTGATTCCTAGCAAATCTGAATGCCACAGGTGTCACTGTAAATTTTCACGCACACTCCGCCCAAGTTGTTCGGAGCCGAGTGCTGTCACCCACCACTAGTGTTCCCATCCTGCCGCCTGTATCCTAGCTATAATCATTTTAGAGGTCCAGGTCTCAGGAGACACGTAGAGGCAGGTCATGAATTTCCGCTAAACATTTATTTCGCGCAAACTCCCCTCACGTTTGATGTGTCCGGTGCTGNCGGTATCGAAGGCTCTCTTTGAATCGGTGAACGGAAGACATAACGGCATTTTGTACTGCCGCGATACTTCAATGAGACTTGTATCGGTGTGAATG